TATGGGCTATCAGGTCCCAGCTAGGGGCTGAGAGCTTATGCTCTCCTGGGAGTTTGGCTTTCTGTTCCCTCTTCTACATGTCCCAAGAGAAAAAATTACCACAGAGGGCCGGGGCAGAGGAGCTGGGTGGGGCCTCAGGAATGGACACATAAGCAACGCTGGGTCACCCTCCAGCACAAACCCAAAGGTCACCCTGCCCAGCTCAGCATCAGGAGGTATGGACCTGGTCACACATATTGCCAAAGGAAGGAAGGAGCTTTATCACTCAGGTTAGCAAGGAGAGAGGCATGTTAGTGAGTCTCTACAGGCAGGTCAGAGCTTGGACTTCACATTCAGACCGACCTGGCTTCAAATCCCAGCTTAATGTTGCTGTGACCTTATGAAAATTCCAAAGTCTAAGACCAAATTGGGGCTTAAGATTCAGGATAATAGTCCCTACTCTTTACAGAGATGTTGTAAAGAAGACAGAGAATGGATGGATGCCTCCCGAAACGTGGTAGATACTTGTCTGAGGTAGCAGAAAAACCCAACTCTTTTTCTAACTCTCGCACTCAATACAACCTAGAACACTTTTGTGACCAAAACGTAGGAGGGGTGTGAAGGTTAATTCTAGGTGACAACTTGGTTAGATGAAGGAATGCTGAGAAACCTGGTAAAGCTATCTTTTTAGGTGTGTCGGTGAGGGTGTTTCCAGCAGAGATTGGTATGAGAGTCTGAGTGGCCTGGGTGGGAAAGACCCATCCTCAATGTGGGTTTGAAGGTTAATTCTAGGTGACAACTTGGTTAGATGAAGGAATGCTGAGAAACCTGGTAAAGCAATCTTTTTAGGTGTGTCGGTGAGGGTGTTTCCAGCAGAGATTGGTATGAGAGTCTGAGTGGCCTGGGTGGGAAAGACCCATCCTCAATGTGGGTTGGAACCATCCAATCTGCTAGGGGTCCAGAGAGAACAAAAGACAGAGGAAAGAGGTGAAGCTCTCTCTGCTGGAGCTGGGATACACTCTTCAGCTTTTGGGTTCCAGGATCTACACCAAGGACACCATCAGCTTGCCTGGTTTTGAGGCCTTTGGACTTGGACTGAGCCATGTACCAGCACCCAGTTTGCAGACAGCCTATAGTGAGACTTTTCTTCATAATCACGTGAGCTAATTCCCCTAATAAATCCCTCTCATATATTTATGATGTATCCCACTGATTCTGTCTCTCTGGAGAACCCTGACTAATACAAGGGGTTTCCCCCACATACCAAGCAATTCTCCAATGGACATCAATGCGGTGTTCCTACAATTTAACTCAATTCTGACACTATCTACTTAGAGACAGCATTAGATTTCACAGGTTAGGGCTCAGTCCCATGAAAGTATCCCCACTTCAGAGGCCAATCGTAAGTAGGCTATACACAACTTTTGCCCAACTTGACTACTAATCAGAGGTTCCCAGCATCCCCTTCTCAGGTTCCATAATTTGTTAGAGCAGCTCAGAGAACTCAGGGAAACACCTACTACTTATGTTTACAAGTTTATTACACTAATAAAGGATATAATAAAGGATAGAGATGAGTAGCCAGATGAGATACAAAAGGGGAGATCTGGAAGGGTCCCAAGTGCAGCAGGAGCTTCTGTGTCCACGGAGTTGGAGTGTAACACCTTGTAAATGTGTTTCCCAACCCAGAAGCTCTCTCAACCCCATGCCTTGAGATTTTTATGGAGGCTTCATCATGTAATCATGATTGATTATTAACTCCATTTCCTGCCCCTCTTTCCTCTCCAGAGGATGGGAGGTGAGGCTAAAAGCTCTGGTGACCAGCCCCCATCCAGGAGCATATCGAGTGTCACTTCACTAGAACAAATGACCCTCCTATCACCCGGGAACTTCCAAGGGATTTAGGAGCTCTGTGCCAGACTGGAAATTATAAAGGTCTTAGGAGCTCTGTGTCAGTAATCCAGAGTAAAGACCAAATATTAGAACAAAGGATTCTCCTGCTACTCTTATCTATAGGAGTTTTAGGAGCTCTGTCTCAGGAACTGGGGAAAGAAATATATACATATTTCTTAATTTACAGTGTTCAACAAACATTATCATCAAAAAATAATAAAGTTGGAAGCTCTATTATGAAGTGCAAAGTGAATTTTGCTGTTTCCTACCCCACTTCTAACATTGGTACAGCTCGTGACCTTGGAATAATTCTTAATCCTTTCTTCCCGAATGTGTTTGGAAGTCATAAAAATACTTATCTTAAAAATCCCTGGAAGTCCTTTAACAGAAGATTCAACTCCATTAACAGAAGAAATTCCTGTCTCCCAACTTCCTTACAATGAGGAAAAATAAGGTTCAAAATTCAAAAAAGGAGAGGGTAGGTAAATTATCTAGTGGTCAATTTGTAAGTGTCATGGTAATTAACACCCAGAAAAGACATGCATAACTACAATATAGATTGTTCCAAAAGTTCAACTGTGACATAGAGCTTCCACTTCTTTTTTGCAAATCCACCTTTCCCAGAAGTCACAAATACACATAACTAGTAAAGGAACATAATTAGGAAAATACAAAAAAGGAAGGAAAAATGAAGAAACACAGGTCCCAGATAAAACACACACCCACCAATCTGCCAGCAAGAGTTGATTGTCATGAAATGTTCATATTGTGGGTTCCCGCTCTCACAGCAGGGTTTTCTACTGGCCGTAGGAATGGGACATGCTGAACTGAAACCCAGTTACGTGTTTTCCAGCACTGGTGCCCTTGAACCCTGTGCCTCTGCCTTCCTGAAAATCTACCCTTTGGGAAAGGACTCATTTTTGGTAATGTACGTCTTAGTGAAACTAAGCCATGGATGGATTGAGCCAGAGTCGGTATTTTACCTTTTATATTTATAATTTAACTCTTATCTCTAAACCCTTAGCCATAGTCAAGGGACATAGTTAATATCCTCTATGTTATCCTCCCAAACCACAATCAGGTAGCTACAACCCAGACACCGGGTGTGAGCTGTTAACACGGTACATATTTATTCTGCTTCTCTCTGTGCAGTTGACAGCGCCTGCACCTGCCCAGTCCACACTCTCTTTCCCTCCCACTCGAGCTTTTCTACTGTTTCTATTTCCCCTTCATTTCTGTGAAAGTTTGGTACATGGAACTCAAGATTGGTTTCTCTCGATGCTACTGAGCTTTCCACATTTTCCCTTTTTAATTAGCCTTTTATTGGGGAGGAGGGGATACATGGGAAAGTAAATCAAATGATCACACTTGGAAATGAAGGCCAAGGTTCCAATTAACAACACACTGCCAAAAACTCACTTTTTTTTTTTTCTTTTTCCCGTAACCGGTAAGGGGATCACAACCCTTGGCTTGGTGTCGCCTGCACCACGCTCAGCCAGTGAGCGCACCGGCCATTCCTATACAGGATCTGAACCCGTGGCGGGAGTGCTACTGCGCTCCCAGAGCCACACTCTCCCAAGTGAGCCACGGGGTCGGTCCCAAAAACTCACTTGAAGTCAGGGGGAAGTATGACCAAAAATAAAATAAAATTTAAAAAACAAAATTATTGTTCCCAAACTTCTTATAAGGAAAAGGAGAAAAAAGGTGAAAACAAGTATAATTTATTTGAACACATATGGCAAAAAAAGAAGGACTTACTATTGAGCCAGAATTATTTTAACTCCAAAACCGCCTTCTCACTAATCAAAATCCACACGTAATGAAAGCATAGTAACAACAAGCAACAAAAGCCAGTGTAACTTCGAAAGCAGTGTGCAATCAAGTCCCTTTCTAACCCCAAATGACCTGCTCTAACCCAGAAAGACCTCTCTGCCGGCTGTGACTCAGAACCATGTGGATATGCAGGAAGGAAATTCAGGTGTGGTGCAGTGGGGCTTTTTATTGTTGTTTTAAAACTGCCTTTTTTTTATGACAGCTTTATTGAGATATAATAACATGCCATACAATTCACCTATTTAAAGTACACAATCCACCGTTTTCTGGTATATTCACAGGGTTGTGAAACCATCGTCACAATCAATTTTAGAACATTTTCTTCACGCCAAAGAGAAACTCCCACACTTCTTAGCCAAGACACCCCAAACCCTCCAGACCTAGGCAACCACTAATTGACTTTCTGTCTCTATCGATTTGTCTATTCTGGACATTTCATACAAACAGAATCATATATGTGGCCTTTTGTGTCTGGCTTTTTTGCTTAGCAAAGTGTTTTCAAGGTTCATCCATGTTGTAGCATGAAGCAGTACTTCATTCCTTTTTACAGCCGAATAATATTCCATTGTATGGATATACCTTATTTATTTATTCATTCATCCATCAATGGACATTTTAGGTTGCTTCTATTTTTTGGCTATTATGAATAATGCTGCTATGAACGTCTGTATACAAGTTTTTGTGTGAACATGTTTTCATTTTTATTGGCTCTATACCTAGCAATGGAATGGGTGGATCATATCGTAACTCTTATGTTTAACCTTTTGAGGAACTGCAAAGTGTTTTCCAAAGCAGCTGCACCATTTTTCATTCCCAGCAGTGGTATATGAGGGCTCCAATTTCTCCACCTTCTCATCAACACTTGTTATTATCCACCTTTTTCATTATAGCTATCCTAGCAAGCATACTGTTTATTCAACTTGTTTATAACAACGTGGTATAACGACTTGTTTATAATAACTTTTTTATAACAGTTTGTTCTAATTCAATGTTTTATCTACAGCCAAAGACATGTTCAGACTGGATCCACCTCAAAATACCTGGCAGGAAACACAGGCCTTCCCCAACCTCTAATGATATAACACTTCACCTTTCAAAGAAAACACAGACACTCCTTACAGGTAAATTCTAGTATTTTCATAATACAATATGGAGCAGGTTTCCTCAGCAAATCCCTGGCAATGACACGGGGCTGGAGAACCACTGATCTCATGTGTCTACCTCCTCATTCAAATCCTCTTGAGGATTTTCTTCCCCAGCACCCCTTGTAATTTACAACCAGGCTGTGGTCGTACCTGCAGGCATTCTGGGTGATTTTTGGCAAACAGCTTCCAGTCATCCAGGGCGTAATGCTTATGAATTGCTGTAAACATGGAGTACTAGGAAACAAAACAGCATCATTAGGACAAGAAGCCAAGCGAGTCCTCCCCCGCCCTCCCTCCACACGGAGCTGGTGATCCAGCAAGACAAAGGCAGCGGGTGTTTCTGCCATTCACGCTTAATTTGCTGTGAATATGCTCCAGGAGCCGAAAACAGACACAGGTGTAACCAGTGAAATCACAAAACCTCCTTTCCCATTCTAATCTGATTAGACAATATTGCATTCAGGACTTCAGAGGCTCTGACAGAAGGCAGGGGAGGAATAAAGGAGAGTTCTCAGGGCCTGGCCTCAACCCACCCAGGCTCCCGCCCACACCAGAGTAATGCCAAGAGTGGCACAAATGATCCAAAAGAAAACCATGCATCAGGTCCCCACCCAGGAGAAGGGCCATCCTGGGACAAACTTCTGCTTAACCCGCCCTAAAGAACCTCACCTTATATCTAAAAGCTTTTTCTTACGTTCACAACCTGAACACTTCCTGTTAAACTCTAAACCTATCACCGGATCATTGGTATTCTTCAGGAAGAAAATTACATAAATGATAATCCTAAATCTATGACTACTGACTCAGCATGTATTACCTGTTTGTGCCAGGTCTTTGCATACATTGTTTCATCGAATTCTCAAAACAACTTTGAAAGTATTAGCTTCATGGGCAGAAACAGAGCTTAAGAAATTTAACCACTGCTTGGCTAATAAGGGGCAGAGGCCAGAATCAAACTCGGATCTGACTGCAGAGCTCAGGCTCCTTCCCCGACAGCAAGGCCCTACAGCTAACTTGTCTGGGACTACCTATTCCCCATCTACAATTTCCCATTCTCAAACTCTATGACTTTATTAACTTGCACTAACTCTGTGGATCCTAGACAGAAAATTCACAGCACCCACACATGGTTAGATATGTCAGTGTACATGACCTCATTAGTGGTGTGAAAATGGGAAGAGCATAGTAAGTTCTAGGTTTTTCATGGACTAATAGTTTGACATGTGCATTGGCCAGGCTCCCTGAGTCTACCCACTTTTGCACCAGCACATAATTCATTAGTGGCTGGTGACAGCAGGGCAAGGAAAAGATGGGGCGAAAAAAATATTAGTTCCTTTAGCAATTAATTTATTAGTCTCTGGCCCAAAGCTTGGTGGGGGCTGAAGGCTGACAGATGATACAATGGATCATGGTCAGACAGACTTCACCCCCTACTCCATTTTTTGAGCTTATAATTTGTTTGGGAATCTTTTCCTTCTAATCACTGGCTAATAATGAATCCCAGCACCTCCTGTGGTTAGACTTGCTGCCCACAGTGAGAAGCTCTTTCAGCTAATTGGATTTATCTTTTCACTTGGCAGGCATTATCAACAGAAACATATACACAACACCTATGCACAGTAACAGCAAACATTTCACATCTAGGATGTGTAAGATGCACTGCATCTCAGACACAGCTGCGTGAGACGCACGTCCTGGCCCGTAAATGGCTTTTCCTTTATTTTTCCCAAGGCCAGGACACTAGCTACTCCCTTTATAAGAAATTAGACATTGGCTAAAAGAGAGTACTGTCCATTTAAGTTAAGAGGTAAATGAGTTTGGGTTTGAATCTTGACTTTCTCTATCTGGCCAAGGGCCCTGGGGCAAGTTACCCCTCCTCTCCCTCTCTGCTTCAGTTTCCTCACCTGTAAAGGAAACCTACCTCGTGGAGTTGTGTCAAGAATTAAGAGAAACATATATCCATTATTTGGCACAAAAGTGCTCAATAAATGTTTCTTCATAATTATGTAATAAATGCTACAGCACAGAAAAAGCAGCTCTGTCTTAATTTTAGAGGCAATATCCCTCTTCCACAATATGGCACATCATGTTGCTTAACTTCTTTTTGTATCTCTAATTTCTAAAAGCATCAGAGGCATTTCCATGGAAGAAATGGGTGCAGAAAAAGCAGCTCTGTCTTAATTTTAGAGGCAATATCCCTCTTCCACAATATGGCACATCACGTTGCTTAACTTCTTTTTGTATCTCTAATTTCTAAAACCATCAGAGGCATTTCCATGGAAGAAATGGGTGCAGATCTAGACCCTCTCTTTGATCGCAAAGTCCAGACACCATCACTGTTCTGATTAAAGAGGAGCAAGAAAAGACATGTCCATCAATGACCAGACTCAGAACTGAGAATGACCCAAACTCTTTTCTCCTCTTCCCTGTGTCTGAACAAACCCAGGGTGGGCTCCTGTCCATATTGTGAGCAGCAAAGTGGGGACAAAGGCCACCACCTCACCTGTGACATCACAGCTGCCATCTCAAACGTGCCCACGGTGTCCATGTTGGCCACAATGATGGGAATCCCTGAGTAGGTCTGCTTCGAGTTTCGAAACGTGAAGGTACGCTCAAGATCCACCTGTTGGCAAAAACGGGAAAGAAATGAGTGCTTTGCTCTTACGTGACATGTACAGAATTTCTGGAGTTTGGAGCAAGTGGGACTAACACAAAGGAAGTGTCTACCCCTAGGTCCCTGGATTCTCTTAGGGCTTGGGCCAGGTGCTCCAAAGACGGGAGAAAACCAGGTACAAAAGCTGAACCAGGCTTCTCACCATCCTCATGCACCAGCACAAGGCACTGGACATTCTGCCATGAAGCCAAGTCTCTGAATCAGAGCTTTCTCTCCTCCTTTTCTAGCTGCCCAATCCCACTGCCACCTTCTACCTGCAGCCTGGTTCATGCCAGCCCTAACACCCACATACAGGTATCTCTTCCCCAGTTTCAAGAACTGGAGAGACCACTGCCCTTCTGGGAAAATCCACTCCACTCTTTCCTGCTAACCATGGCCCTCCTCCAGTCACAATCCCTTCACTCCCCACCTTTCACCTACAGCCACACTCCAAATTCACCCTGCAGTGAGCTCCGAACCATTAATCCCTTAACCTTCCAACTTCCCTGGCTGTTTTGTAATTATGAGCATCTTTCAGAGAGCTGCGGGGAAATACATTGCAACCATATGTCCATGCATATAAACTCTTGTTCCTTTGACTCGCAAACAGCTGGAAGAAGGCCCCTTTGATTCTGCTGTTAACTCCAACTTCAGGCCATTTATGTTCCTCAGAATCCAGCACAATAGCTCAGCTTCGATGGTGGTCTCCCCAGAAGCAATGTGCTAGTGCCAGGCACTCACCAAGAGCTAGTAGAGTCAAAATTACTTCTTCGACCCAGGGCAGATCCTGCCTGTTTGCCTACAGATCCATCCTAGGCCTGCTCTTTTCACAGAGAGGCTGCCCACTGCAGGCTCCATTTCTCAAGTTCATTTCTGGCTGGGTTTGGCCAGTGGAGGACACTGGGTGAGAAAGTGGAGAGCAGTGGAAGAAGATGGCAGGGAAAGCAGGGTAGTTCTCCCAGACCTCGTGCCTGGGGCATCTTCTCCAGAGCAGCTGCACCCCCTTCAGGCTCCTCTGACCAGACAGGCCTACTTGTTCCTGGTTCCAGCTTACCAGGGAACACTGCCTCCTCCGTCTGACCCTCATCCTAGGGTGGGAGTGGCTTCTTACTGTTGCCAGTCTCTGGGGTGCCTCAATATCCCATTTGGCAACGCAGATGTGCCAGGATGCCCTGCATTAAATTCATTACTTTAAATATTCTGCATTCTTAGTTTCCTTGGCTGGGGCCTGATGGATACAGACCACACTGGAAGAGGAGGCTTGCCCAAGGTGAACCGTCAGAAGAAACACAGGTATGACTCTTATGCCTCTGAAATAATTTACACCTACATTAATCCTGGCTTTGTGGACACCAGCAATAATCATTGTCTACCAGTGTTTCTCCGGTTCCTTCTATTATCCATCTGAGACAACCTTCACTTTTCAATCAGCATAAGGGCAGAAAACCCTGTGGACATCTCAGAGCTTTTAGCCTTCTCATTCTTCTTGCTTCTCCACATGGCTCCAGGTCCAGGAGGCTTCCTGGGCGAAAGATGCCATAAACATGACTGCACCAGCATTACACAGCAATCAAGGAGGGAAATGACATGTTGTCGTTGCATGAACACCTTCTCGTGGAAGGCTCGTCCCTTCTCCACTTCCTTTACAGTGATTTTTGGTTCTGCTTCAGTGAAGCGAGTGACATTCGGAAAGATCACTGAAGGGGTCTATTAATTGCAACCTTCTGTGCTGCTAATGGCTCTCTAACATTTTGGCTGCTTCACAGGCTTAAAACAATCAGAATTCCTTGGTCTCAAATTACTCTCACACTCCTCCCAAGATACATGGGGATAGCTGCTGCACTCTGCACCCGACTGAGATCACAATGGCTTTTTCTTGGCACACCCAACCCTATCAGCAGTACGTGAAAAGCAGAGCTTGTTATGGAAAAGGGCAGCCCAGACAATGAGCCCTTACCATCATTTCTAGTCTTCTCCATAGGGTAGATTCTTTACAATTCTTAACTCTAAGAATAAGAAAAAAAATTATCTTTCCTAACCTTATCCACCCAGACACATGCACACACACACACACATACACACCAGTTGCTCACTGAGAGAGATAAATATTTTAAGTATTCCAGCCTCCCAGGAACAAAACTTGGCATTTAATCTGTCACATCTGGTCAATGCACCAAATATAGCATCTCCAAATTCCCACATTGCTAAGGCTGACTTGAAAGGGAACATAAAGTAACAACCTCCTCTCTCCCACCTCAAAAACACGTTTCTGCTGCTTTCTACACACACCTCCGTTAAATTCAGTCCTACAACCCAACCTTTTAAGGACTCAAAAAGTACAAATGGAGGCCCACTTACCACATTTCCACATAATTCAATCTAACAAGCTGCTACATAAAATATGTTCCATCCTCCTACCCTAACAATTCCATTCACAACCTGCCAGGTACCAGAACAGGGTGGCATGGGGAGCCAGCCCTAGCCCCCATCCACACCTCCTTCCCTTCCACCCAAATCCTTATGTGCACATCCATGGACACCCCCGTGCACATGCAGACATTGCCATAAACAGCTGCCACTTGCCACTCTCTGGGATTAGAAGCGAGCACACCAACAGCATTGCTGGCCCTTCATGAAATGCACCTAGGAAAGAGATCATACAGGCCTTGGAATCAGCTCAAAGCCATTTAAGGAGGGATATCCAGGATTTTGAGGACCTGCAGCATAGTCCAGAAGGAATGGCACAGCCCACAGGCCCTGCCCAGCGAGGAGGGGTGTGATCAGGGGAGCAGAAGGCAGGGGCTCCTTTGCCTGGATCTATGGGCAGCAGTGAGTAAAGCGATGCTTTCATTATAGAGATTGTTCATTATCTGTCTCACCAGTCTGAGTATAGGAACGATGTCTTCCATCTTTGTAGTCCTCGTGGTTTAAGAGTATAAAATAAATTAACGTACGGCTAAGGGCAAGAATGATACTCTGTTTCGTCCCCAGTCTTTTGCAGAGCAATGCATGGTGGGCCCCAGCCCAGCCCTCTGGATATGACCCCTGGAAGCTTCACCGTCAGCGCTGAGGTTTCTGGGAAGCTCCCACACAGCTGCGCATCACCAGGGATCACAGCTGTGCATCACCAGGGAGCCGCAGGTGTCCCCAAAGGGAAAGAGCTTCAGAAGCCAGGCCAGTGCACGCCTGTGCACATCAGATTCCTCTTAGGACTGATTCCAAAATACACATACTCAGGCCATCCCAAACTTCATAAATCAGAACCTTTGTGTTTAAGACAATATGTGTATAAGTCACAACCCTTGTGTTGAAGACAATATTTTGGAGTGTCTCCCTGGGTGGTTCTGATGCATTCACAACTAAGAACAAGTCTAGTCAAATCCTCTAATTTTAAAGAGTAAAATTTACAGAGGCTGTTATGGGTTGAATTGTGTCTCCCCTGCAAAAAAAGACGTTGAAGTCCTAACCTCCAGTACCTGTGAATGTGACATTATTTGGAAATAGGGTCTTTGCAAATGATCAAGTCAACATGAGGTCATTAGGGCAGGCCCTGGTCTAATATGACATGTTCTTATAAAAAGGGGACATTTGGACACAGATACACAGAAAGGCAGAACACCGCATGGAAACAAAGGCAGAGATCAGGGTGATGCATCCAAAAGACACGGATCGCCAAAGACTGCCAGCAATCCAACAGAAGCTAGGAGAAAGGCCTGGAACAGATCTTCCCTCACGGCCCTTAGAAGAAACCAGCCCTGCCAACATCTTGACCTGGGACTTCCAGCCTCCAGGACTAGGAGACAATAATTTTTTGTTTCTTAAGCCACCTAATTGGTGGTACTTTGTTACAGCAGCCCCAGGAAACTAACACAGAGCCAAAGGGAATAAAATAAGTAGAGACAGAGCTTGGGCTAAAACTCAGGGCTTCTAAGTCCCAGCCCTACATTCTCTCCATAGTGCCACGTCCTCATCCCCCGCAGGCCAACCTGTTGTGATCGGTGATGGCTAGACCAGAACTCTTCCTACTGGACCATCGGGGGGAAAACTACTATGGAGTTTTAAGCAGACTGAACGCCATTGTGTCTTCCCTGTCCTAGGATAAGTGGGCACCTCGCTACTGCACTCTCTTCAGTGCCTGCCTACCAGAGTTACAGTTTCATTACTAAGTTTTTAAAATTCTCACTAGTTTAAGGACTAGGAATAGATCCCAGGGAAGAAAATACTCCAGAAGTCAAGGAAAGAGGCAAGCTCCCCAGTGTAGCAGATGAAGACAAAGGTCTTGGCTCAATCAACAAACAAGTCACCTCCTCTGAAAAGATTATCCAACTGTCCCCATGTAACCCAATGTCACTTCATTCTTCTGTACCAGGGGATAGACAGTTGAGAGGTGACTGCCTACCTGGAGCACCCATGCTAAGGCCACCTGGGCCACCTCTACCTGCACTCTTTGCCTCTGGGAGTTGACCTCAAATTCATTATATGTGAGGCTAGTGGAAATGTCCGTGCAGGGGTACTAAAATTCCTGAGCGGGCAACCACTTTCTCTTTCTCTCCATTTCCTGCGCACTGCTTGATGATCCATCACCGGGCCTGGCTCTTAGCAAAACTGTCACAGTGACAAAGCTTGTCTCCAACAGTCAAAACTTTCCTTTCTCCACCAGACTCTGCTCCCATGGTGTAGGTTCTCTCTCCTGGGTCCACTCAAACCTGCTCTGTTAGGCTCAATGTTGGCCATCTGTTCAGTTTCTTTTCTTTTTGTGGGGGGAGGGGGATCCAAGTATTATTTCTGCCAGGGTGCACACATTTTAGGAAATTTCAGGCATCGACAAGCAAACTGAGAGGGGATTAGAGAGGCCTAACTAGATCTCTCCATACCACCAAGGCGAGTGAAGTCAGATGATGTGGGGTGCCCAGGCAGGCAGCTAAGCCATTGCCAGAACCAACTGGAAAGGCAATACCAGTTAACTCAGTTTCCAGGCACAGAGCTGACAAACTCTCACAAAAATGAAAATATGAAAAACATTTCTCAAGGGCACTGAGTTCTCACTGCAATGTGTATGCAGATTGCAAGGTGCCACCACAAGCTGGGACAACATTAATAGTTGCAATCAGCCATAATTATGAAACCAAGTGTGGCATGATGACATCACAGGTCCCTGGGAAGCAATCATTCATTCTATTACATAAATTTTAAATGTTTTACCTTCTCAAGATGTTTTCTGGTTCAGTAAAATACATGTAATATATCCTCATTTTGAACATATAATTTTTCTTAAAAATAAGTTTCTCTCTACTAAACACGTTTTGAACAAATACTTTTAAAATACTGAGGCCATCAAACTATTAATCTGCCCAGAATCCCCACACTTTCTCTTGGTCTGGCCTTAGGTACTGGCTAAAGTTTATACTTCTAGCCTAGCCCTGCCCTCCAAACTGTTTATTTTTATTCCAAAAGTCAGCCTGGCTCCTTTGCACCTGAAAGGACATGATGAAGGACAAGCACAGGGTCATCCAATCAGGGGTGAAAGGGTTAATCATTCCTCCCCCACTTCTCCCAGTCCTGTCCTCTCAGGCTCTAGCCAGCCAATCTGGTGCTTAGAGAAGGTGACTTGGTTTTAGTCACTGGCTAAAGCAGGAGGCTTCCCGAATCCAAACAAGCACCCCCCCCCCCCCCGCCGGGCGGCCAGCGCCGGGCCCTGCAGCTAGGCCGGGGCACTGGAGTGGGCAGCAGAGTCCTTGGTGGAGGCGATTTATTTGTGGAGC